AATATGAATGCGAAGAATCTGTCCATATATTAGCCGCATCGTTTCAAAGTGTGAGAAAAAAGTAGCAGCTTATAGTCCAGAATTTACGGTAGTTCTGTTCTTTGTGTTTTTACGACAATAAAAATCATGTAGAGCCAACAATCTTAAAAAAAAATAGTTTTCTATACAGTGAACAAACATACACATTACATAACACTGATCAGCCCCTTGACAACTATTAACAAGTCAGTTCCAATGCATCCATAAAAGTTTGAGATGTAAAGAAGGCATGGAGGAAGCTATACTATAACACTGTACAAAGGTAGTTATTTTCGGTCATTCCTCAAGGACCGGAGCGGAGGAGGGGTGTGAGGGGTGTGTGGGTGGAGAGGGCGGGGGCTGAAGTGTCCAGGAAACAGGCGCCAGAGAGCGAAGACAATCAGAGGATGTCTAATGACACAGTGTGCGCATAATAGCTGTTAGACACATGTAGTCCAGTCCGCCAGTCAACACTTCGCACTGTTACAAACGCACCATGTCAAAGTTTAAATGACACCTAAGTATTGCTTTGGGGACTGGGAATACCCTGTCTCCTACGCAAGGACTTTAAAAAGATTTGTAGGGAGGTCGGTGACAAAACAGGATGTCCATGGTTACCTCTACAGAGAAGAGAAGAACTTTTGGAACGATGAAAAATTAGGACAGTTGAAATACTCTTTAACAATTTACAACAATAATGTGTAAATCTATTGAAAAAAAAACAAAAAAACATGCATATAACAAGCAGAGGTGGGTCCAAGTTGTTGTTTTGCAAAGGTTTCAAGTAAGTCTCAAATCGCTGACCTCAAGTGCGAGTCAAGTCCCAAGTCAAATACAGGCAAGTCCAAGTCGAGTCCAAATCGTCTGCTTTGAGCTTGAGTCATTTCAAACCATTTATAACAAAAAAAAAACTACCAAATATAGCTTAGATTTGTGCTATTTATATTATTTTTAAACTAAATTGTTCTTAAAAAGTCATGGTATATTTATATATAAGTATTTAGAAATGCAAATTTTTCCTTTTTAAATGTCTTGACAAGATCTTAGTGTGAATGATTATGGTCAGAATAGAAAGAATTAAAATTTAAGAGTGTTTTTTAACAGTTATTTTATCATGTAGTCTGCACTGAAATGGAAAAATCATATCCTTTGTAGTTCCCTCTGTTTTATTGTATTGTACTGTATATTAATGTATTACATTTGAGGATAGCAGATCACAGTATCAAACAGAGAAGTGTGAGGGACATGTTCCAGTTTGTTCCTGTAAAATTCAGCACCGCATTTATCAACTGTAAAGAGAAAAGTATTTTCTAAAAACAGAAGTTTTTTTTAGGAGAAGCATCAAGTCTTCTCAAGTCACAGGCGTCAATTCCAAGTCAAGTCCCAAATCCCTGACCTTCAAGTCCAAGTCGAATCCCAACTCTTAGACCATTTTATCAAGTCAAATCTCAAGTCTCTTCTAAAAATAGAGACTCAAGTCTGGCTTGAGTCCAAGTGTCGACTTGCCAGTTCCGACTTCTGATAACAAGAAGCTGAAATGCATGAATAGGTCTGAAAGATTGGGAGTTCTGCCTGTGTGTTTATGGCGGAATGTTTAGCAGTTACCACGGTGACACAATACAAACATTGGCAAACACTGCCAAAAAAAGTTTTAAGATGGTCTGACAACTCAAGAAAAATACCAAATGAATTTATGCAAGACATTTCCAACTTATCTGATCGATGTGAACGTTCATGGTTCAGTTTACATGTTTAAGACTGATTTTCAACAAAAAAGTTGAGCGTGACAAAGTGAAAAAACTTACTTAGTGTCTTTTGAGAATGACTTGTTTAACAGTGCAGATCATCTCCTCTGTTGTAGTTCCAGCAAATGCCAGACATACACTGTGCAATATTTTCAATCATTTCACTCAGCCCCAGCTCAAACTGTACGACGAAATCACAGGATTTTAAAGTTCACATCTCACGATTCATGTTCTCACATCACTAAACGAACTATTTCAACAGTGTGAAACCTTAACGAGAATTGATATTCTTGCAAACTGCGATTGCCGATTGGGAGTTGGTCGTGAGGTATTAATCGGTTCTTGTTACCCCATGTGTACTACACGAAGTACAAGACAAGATTAAGCCAAAACTCGGCCCGATACCGAAAACAGTTGAAAAAAACGAGTCGAAAAATCGTCTCAAAAAGGGCTAAAAATCACACAGTGTATGCCTGTCTTAAATCAGTCCTTTATGATCAGATTGAGTTAAAACAAACCTCAGATTAAATTCTAAATTGAGTAACAGAGCTTCAGACACAACAGTCCCTCAGTTAGCCTCAAACGCCCAAGAAATGTTGATAACACCAGATGCAAAGTACCAACAGCAATATAGCGTTCAGATTTTATAATTTCAGATGACAGATGGGGGTCTATATAACTCTATGGGAGAATTACTGTTTTGGAAAGAAATTTATGATTCACAAATGTTCAGCTTCATCATAATTTGTTAGGAACATGCTCCACAAACTTGCCACATTAATCTTATTTCTTAAAGTCCTTTGAACTGACAGCATGCAAATATTGTGAGTTGAGTGAATGGCACCACTTTCTGAAGCTATTGTGGAAATTGTTTACTTTTTTGTTGAGATATTAACCATAAATAGGTCAATAGAATTTGCAATCTGAGAGCAAATTTTTCCACAGGATTCTGACCAGTCCACCAGCTCAATCTTAAACTACAGGAATTATCGAGTAATATTTTCAGTCATGAACAAAAAATAACAAGTCTACACAATTTGTTAAACTTGTATTTCCAAACCTATTTAAAACATGTCCTGAAACGCATGTTGTTGTTTTTTTTTCTATTAGACCGCTCTCAAAGGCTCCTGGATGTTCATGTGAAGCCACGCCAAGTTAAAAATCAATGCAAACCATGTATCACTGGTACTGCCCCAGGCTCCACTGACAGTCCACTTAGGTTATTGTACCTCCTTCCTTTATTGTCCGGAAATACAATGTTATGTTCCTTATTCTCACTGAGACAACACCCATCTCAACAATGCAGCCATACCTACAGTGGAATATTGATACAAAAAGGGAAAAACTATTCAACAACTCATTTTTTCTTATTGGCTTTTAGATATTAGGCGACCAGATGGAATAAGGGGCTATTAATCTTGTTGTTTATCATTTGTACAGTATATTTGGTTATAAAATCATAGACAATATCCTCCAACTATATTGCAAACCCGTAGTAAAAAAGTTGTTTACTACCACTTCTCAATTAAAAACAAAGGGCTTAAAATATGCATACGCTGTAAAAATAAAATTCATTCCAGTATAGAATTCAGTATGATGAGTATAGTGGTTTTAATGCTGAACAATTTTATTTTATACTAAACCAACAAAAAGGACATATTGTGATGCTGACTGAAACCTATTTCGTCACGCAGGTATTTTAGACTTTACAGTTAAATTGAGGGCATAAGTGGAGGAGAGTGGATGAGCAATTTTTTTACAGACAAAATAGCAAAATAAAGTCAATTTTCTGAACAGAGCTCACTGCTGCAGTTACAGAGGGAGGGATGACAATTTTCCAATGTAGAGTCAATTGGAGCCAGAGTCAATGGAGCCGGAAGCGCCGCCCATGTTTGCAAAGTATTACCTGTAAATATTCAAAGACTGTTTGAGACAAGAACAAGCCACTAACATTTAAAAGGAACCTACATGTTTAAAAAAAAAGTATTCAGAACCAAAGTTATGGAGCGAAGGAGTTCATTTATGGAATAGTTGTGACAAAGATATAAAAGAATCAAGTACAATGATGGCATTTAAAAAACACATAAAACCCAGAGCAATGTGTATGTATGAAAAAGGAAACTAAGTTGTTGTGCATAAAAGTGAAGATTTCTATTTCCAGTTGATTAATAATTGTGCCTGAACTGAAATGTACTGATTTGAAATGTTTTAAAGTGACTATCGGTGTTGATGTTTTGTCTGGAAAGGGGAAAAGGGGCAGATAACATAAGATGGTGACTCTTCTTTCTACTCCTTTTCATTCATTTCTTGTATGTTTGATGTTGTGACACTGTTAATGTCTTTTTATACTTTATGAATGAAATAAACAAACATCTTCACTTCAAAACAAAAAAGTTCACTTCCAATTAGTAATGTAACAATAACTGAAATATCGTGATATCATATCGTCAAAAGTCTCACAATAATATGTTCCTGCAGTATGACATGAAAATGACACATTTAAAAAGTTGCACAAAAACCAGAAGGAGCTCATCTGTCACGTAAGCACCAGAAAAACATCTGGGGTTCAGGGTTTGAGATACAAAACAAATTTAATAATCATCATTTTCTTATTTTTGTAAAATACAACTTTTCTGAAAATATGTGAACATGCGTCAGTGTGCTGTCCTGCGATGTGACAGCTGGATTTCCTCAGAAAAATACAATTCTAATAGCTAAAAATATATATATAAATATATTCTTTAATATGAGTTATATAATTATTAAACCAACAATATAGACATGTTAAGTAGGGATGTAACAATAACTGAAATATCGTGATATCGTATCATCAAAAGTCTCACAATAATATCATGGGGTGTCACAATATATCAAATTACAAGTTCCTTTGCTTAAATTCATGGTTTTACAGTAGCAACAGCTTATAAACATTGGGAACTACATATCCCATGATTCATTTCAGTGCAAACAACATGAAGAAATATGTTTTTTACTTGAATTCTTGAGATTATGACAAAAATAATTCACACCAAAATCTTATCAAGGTATTTTAAAAGCACAAACGTGTCCTATCTTCAATTATATCAGCCTCTTCAAAATATCTCAATAAATATCGTGCGGTGTGATGCATATCGTGATAATTTCGTACCGTGAGATTTGGATACCGCTACATCCCTGCCATTTATATATACAGTCTAGGGATGAGGGTTTTGTTTTGGTCTGGGATCTTCTACCTACTTGGATACGCGGTCAGCCGGCACATCCCCAGCAGGTGGTAGTACGATTCCATTTCGCTGGTGGAGATGCGGACGGTGGTGTACGCCCGAGTGTATTGCCCGCAGAGGGGACAGCGGCTGGGTAAAGTCAAACGGCGTATCGGCTCCATGATATCTGCTCATCCGGAGACAAACTAACTACAACATGAAAACGAGGAAGGCCGTCTGGACGCGGGCTTTCACTGCAGCGTCATAATCCGGCGTTAGAAGCTTAAGCCAATTAGCAGATGTTCGCACACGGCAACTCCCACAAGAAGAAAAAAATTGTAGCACAGTGGTGTAGTGAGCGGAGTAGCACAAAGCAAGAGGGTAACAAGTTCATTTTCTAGATGTTCATGTGGAGTTTGCATGTTCTACAGATAATCTTTGACTTAACAACGAGAATTAAACAAGATAAGAAACAGCAGCACGTAATAGAGTAAGCAAATTAACACAAAAAGGTATCGGTTTGAGTGCACAGTGCTTTTGTATGTGGAGTTTTTCATGTTCTCCCTGTGTTTATGTGGATTGGCCGACAGCAAGGTAATCTCTGACTTAATAACAGGAAGAAAACAAGATAGGAATTTGGAGCACAGTGGCCTATAGGGAGCGTAATAGCAGTAAGAAGGTATTTATGTTTGATTCCGAGACGTGATCGGTGTTTTTCTCTGCGGAGTTTGGATGTTCTCACCGTGTCTATATCGGTTTACTCAGGTGCACAGTAGATTATGTAATCCTCACCTTAAATTTAGCTCATTGGATTTGGTTATGGTCATTGCTTGTGACAGATTGTCATTGAAAGAAGAGTCAAACACAGAAGACTTTTTTTTTTCTAATGGTGGAATTGGAAGATTGGTCAAACACAGAAGACATATTTTGCTCAGCATGAAAATATAATGTTTTTATACAGCTTGATCTCGGGGCTGTTCTCTGGACATGTGAGAAAATATATGAAAAAGCCTGACTAGTTTCATTTTAATGTATTATATTGCCTGAAGAGAGTTGTAGGGAAGGACAATATCAATAGCCTAAGATAATATTAAAGTGACAGTTTTGAAGATATGCAGAATTAAAATGCTATAACATGTTTAAAGAAAAAGGCAGCAAAAATAAAACAAAGCTATATATTTAAAATGTGTATTGAGTCTGATGATACAATACATATCATGATATGCATGTCACGATTCGATATATCCCGATACTAAAACAGAACAATATATGGCGATTTATCAATAATTACTTCTATTAATACAGTCAGCTACACCTTCACGAGAAGACAATTGTATGAAATATAGTTTATAAAAATGTTTAAATCATCAGAACAGTGAATGTAAATAATTAATTTTTGTGAAAAATCTATTTGGATGCATTTTAAATCGATTTGAGAATTGTGCAATGAAGTATTTCAATATATCACTGAATAGATTTTTTCTTACATCCCTAATATATAGTTACAATACTAAAATTCAGGAAAGGCTTAATTCTCAATGTTGATTTTATTACCACAATCTGAAGTACAGTAGTACAACAGCAATGTCATTTTCAACACAAAATAAAAGACTCTAATATTAATTACCAAGTGTTCTTATCGTTCTGATTTACTGTAAATCAGGACCTTCTAAAACTACACCAGAACAGTTCAGTTTATTTATGTGATTTTTTTTTTAAATTATTATCAATACCTGCTCAGCTCAAATCAATACTTTTTTGGTTTCTTTTCTTTCTTTTTTTTTTTTTTAATATACTGATATTTTGCAGCTGATGTCTTCAACATTTCCTGGGGGTGTGACGCTAACTGTAGACACTGCTCTGTCTGGAGCTGTGTTAGACTTTAATCTGATCTTTATTTTAAAACAATCTGACCATAACAAACTGATTACAATAAATTAGCTGATTTGTGCTGTTAAACAAGTCTCTCACACATAAAATTACAGTCACAAGCTAGTTTTTCATTTACATAGGGTGATCTGTCCCAGCAGATTTATCCAAAACTTGTGATTTGTCCCAGTTTTAAACAAGAAATGTCCCAGGTGTCCTTATTTTTGACCAATCTGATCCCTGCCATCACCAAAGAGAGGCAAAATACAGAAAAGCTGCTTAAAAACGACAAAACCACAAAGAAAATGTAACTAAACTGACTCACATTAGTGCTGAGTACATAACAATTTTCCTTAATTACGCACTCGTTTCACAGTTTTATTATTACCAACCAACCCAAACCGGGGATGTCCTAGTTTTTTTTATTTTAAAAAATCTGGTCACCCTACATTTACAGTCATATTCATCATTGTTGTTGAAAATCAGACCCATGAACGCTTGCATTGACCACAGGCTCTTGAAAATGTGCTCTTTAAATCCATTTAGTGTTTTTCAGATACGTTTTCAGATGAGTTTAACACTTTTTTTGTGCATCGTGCTGCCATGGTAACTGATAAACATTCTGCCATAGACATACATGTAGAACAACCTCATTGTAAAGTGTCAAAAGGGTGATTTTTTTCTGCAATTTTTTGGTTCGTGTAACTGTCCATGAGCGATTTACGAGCGCATTTCAAATCAGTTCAATTATTTTTAACATTTGTTTGACATTCGGTCTGTTCCAAACCAGGCCGGACTTGATGATCTCACTCTGACTCCGACTCTGACATTTAAAGAGGAATTCTTTCAGCGCTGAACCCTCTCATTTCAAACACTTCTGGAGCTGAGCCAATAGTGTACAGTCTATCATTAAATCAGCCATTACCACACACTAATGTCACAGCAAGGTAAGCGTTTTTCTATCTACGGCTCAATAGTTGTAGGCTGTCAAAAAATGCGGAGAGCAAAGCTGGAATTACATACTTTTTTCCTCAATGTTGTCATCATCGGAAAGAATTAGTTTTTATTTGTAAATTTAACAAGTTGGCAAAATGTTCTGCCACTCCTCAGCTTATCAGCACTTTGTAAAATAAAAATATTACCAAATATTCTGAGCTAACTGTGTTTCTCAAAAAAACTAATAAATAACACAAACTTTTAAAGACCATAGTCATCAATTTTAATTAAAGGTGTACCGTGCAACTTTTCTGAATATTGCTTTGTCTGGAGTGCTCCACGGTGAAGCATTTAACATTGATTTGTTTTTAATTTTGAGTTTGTGCCAAGAGAGAAACAATAATCATACCACATATACATTGTAAACAACAGAACAGCACGTTTCTCGAAAAGGAGTGGGAAGAAGAAAAAACGTATATGAACCCACCCGTTCATGACATAACATCTGCATGGGGACACCACCAAATCAAGTTACATGTCAGATCTATGGAGAAGCAAACCCGTTCACAGTAAGAATGCAAGTTTTAGGTATTATAGAAATAAAACTACCTGAATAAATGCAAGTTAGGTAAGTTAAAAGGCCATACTGTGGAATATTCCAAGCAAAGCAATGACAAATCCATGGAGGAAAGTTGCACAGTGCCTCTTAAATGTTTTAATTTATTCACAACGAACCTATTCCTTCATTTTATCATTCACAATTTGTTCATGTTGACACTTTTTGTTTTATTTCTCATCCCTCTCATACAGTCTATACAAGTCTTTGGGTTGCCAGATGCTACAGCGACAAACTGTTTGCAATAAACCCAAAAAGCATTCTCTTTATCTCTATAAAATATGTCCTCATTATGTGACAGCAAATGGGATTCCAAGCATTTTAGAGCTATAAAACTAAAAAACATAATATTTTTTGTATTCGATTTTATGTATACAAGACATACTTCTAATAATTGCCTTTAAAAAAAAAAAAAAAAATTCTCAGCTCTACTCCAAACCACATGCTTTTATGGACAGAGGATTGACAATCAGTAGTCAATCTGTATTAAAGCCGCACTGTGTAACTTTTACGGTGGACAGTTCATCACCTGCTTGTTTCTATGGATACTGCTCTGCCTGGAATGTTCCACAGTATGACATTAAACAGCTCTATTCAATCAATCACAGATGGTTTTACAGCTCAAAACAGGCATTCTGACTCTGAGCGGTGTCGCCTCTCCACAGATTTGACCTGTAACTTGGTCTAATTTGGATGATAGAAAGGTTTAATGCCATACTGTGAAACATTCCAGACAAAGCAATAACATTTCCATAGAGAAAAGCATTTGTTACACAGTGCACCTTTAAGAAAACTCAAATTTTGTCACTGTATTAGCTCTCACATCTAAAAAAAAAAAAGTACACTAATCTGAAAGTACTTACATATAACAGACCCCATGCTTGTGTGCGCTCCAATATCCTCTCTCTAATCTTTTCTCCCCGGCACCATAACCCCTCCGGTCCTGTCCCGTTCTAGTTTTCCCGGTCTGGAGAGGAGGGTCCGCTGTGTGCCCTGTCCTGCCCCACACCAGGCTCCTTCTGACCGGGCACTTCCTCTGCATCCTCCCCTCCTCAGACCACTGCCTCCCCAAGACTCCACCTCCAAAACAACAAAAAGGGGCACGTGAGAGGCCCTTGGAAACTCCCAGGAATCTACTCCCAAACGTCAAAGTACTGTAAATCTTGTACTTGCTGATACTAAATAGTCCTTAAGAGGCTATAAAGTGTTGACATCGTAGTACCCTATCACCGTGGATACCGTAGTACTACAACAAAAATGAACCAAACAAAGCGACTAGAGAGCAATGGTGTCATGAGAATAAAGATTACTCAAACTAGGGATGGGCATTCGATGAAATTTTCTTAATCGATCGTCGGAAGAATTAACGATCGATTATCGATTAATCATTAACGTGTTTATATTAAAATGATCATCATTATTATTACTATCTGCACTACTAACCTGCATACATAAATTCAACTTTACGACATATAAACCGTAACGACTCTAGAGCCACATCAATCCGCTTGAGATTATAATGTGTTTAACGCAGTTTTGCGCAACTCTCACAAAAACAAAACTTAAAACCGCATCGCTAATTTGCATAAACTCAGCGAAGATAAAACTACAGCTCTTGTGTCGCTGATGCGGTCAACTTCTGTTGGATTAAAAGACATGACTCAGTGGAATACAGGTTAGTGTGACCATATTTGCGTTTGTCAAAACCAGGACACCGTACGGGGGGTGGGAGGTGGGTCCTCGTCATTGACATTGCGCGAC